CACAGAAAACAAACGCTCTATCCAGAAAACTTCTGGAAATGCATATCCATTAGCAACATGTGCCTCAGCTTTCAATATCTGCATGAAGTGCTACAGTACTTTAAATCTGATCATGATTATGATGAGTGTTTGTATGAGGGCAGTGCCAGTTGTTCACCTTCAGGTATCTGTGTGTCTGGCACCCCCAGGTGGTAGAAGATGGTTATGAGTTCTTTGCCAAGCGGCAGCTTGTGACGCTCTTCTCAGCTCCCAACTACTGTGGAGAGTTCGACAACGCTGGTGGCATGATGAGCGTGGATGAAACCCTGATGTGCTCCTTTCAGGTATGATGACACATAATACTGAAAGCCAAACATGGATATAATCTGTGGTTACATCTGAGAAGCCCCGTTAGGAAGCACAGTAAAAATCTGAATGTCTTCTCATCCATCCATCCTGTGCTTTCATCCCTGTTTAATGAGTAATCAATAATTATATTAGAAGTGATGGTTAAACACAGCCAGTGAGCAGAGACAAAAGTTGAGATCACACTATGGTGCTAAATGATTCAAAGCAATTTTATTGATGTTTCATGCTTTGCACCGTATGACTGAATAAATGACATTATCTGCAGAATTAAACACATCCACAGAATCCCCCAAACTCCAGCAACCTACCGAGGAGCTAACTGGAATATAATTGCAATATGCATAGCTGTGCAAAAGTGTGGAGTCAACACTCATTTCTGTATATTTTGTTTCTAAGAAGTCAGGCTTTCCTGTTAGTTTTTACTTGTTTAAAATTTAGTTCTTTTGTTCTGATTTTTAGTCCAGTTCTTATATCTGACCATCTTCAGAGGAAGGTTTGTCTGTTGAGCCGTTTCAACACTAACCTTTGAATCATTCAAACAGCCAGCTTTCATTTGTAGGCACGTTGTCACTAGTGGCCAAAAACACAAAATTTGCTCCTATTTATTTTAGTTGAATCTATGAAAAATATTTGACAGTCGTAAAATATTATTTTACCTGGATATCTTGATGTAGTGTGTTGTTTAATGTCCTTAAAACTGAGGAAATCGGACAAAACACGTGGCAGGATGTCCTTAAAGGAGCCTGGAGAAGTTTTCCTCAAAACTAAAGAAATTACAAGAAGCTTCAGGCTGTGTTGAACCATAAAGATGTTCATGCAAATGTTGACTTTTTCATGTTTTTCATCTTGAAAAAATAGTTTTTCACGTTGATCATCGTTCATCTGGGACGATCTAAAAATCCTATAGTGTCGTGGTTAGCGCCATCACCTCACTGCAGGAAAGTTGAAGCTAACGCTGCTCTGTTTGCGTGTTGTAGATCCTGAAGCCGTCTGAGAAGAAGGCCAAGTACCAGTATGGAGGGATGAACTCCGGTCGACCCGTCACTCCTCCCCGCACAGCCCAACCTCCAAAGAAACGATGAAGCAGAGGCACGGAGACGTCAACCACCGTTTCGTGTTTCACCACACAGAATAAGTAAAGGCAACACTTGGCAGAAGAGGAGCGGATCAGTGCAACTCTTTCAAAAGACACACCCAAATCAGACTTTCATTTGCATCCTTATTTTTCATTCCCTGAACTGCTGTCACCCTTCTTCCTCCGTGCACCCCCCCAGCCCCCCTGCATCTGTGTAACATTTTTAAAACAAAGTGTTAAGAGAAATGAGAAAACAATACAAGGGGTCATTCTGCAGCATATCGGAGTGCTTTTTTTGTTTTTGTTTTGTCTGTGTCGTTTTTCTTCTCCTTTTTTGAGAACAGAATGACTGCTAATTTAGTTTACCACATCTCCTTACCCCCCCTGCCTGTACAGACACAACAGGTATTAATGGCAACTGCTGGGTTTTCAATAAATAATACAGGGAAGAAATGTGTGCAGGCTCTGTGTGGTTCTTGAAGTCTAACCAGCTCACGAGAGAGCCCATCAAACTCTCAAAGGGACACAAACACCACAACAAGGGACAGATCCTCAAATTTAATATATCGGTGAATTCAAAGTTACAGCGATCGTCTATCTCGTTGGCTTAGCCAGGCTAAGGCTAACTTTTAAACTGATCTGATAATGTCTCCTGCTAAACTGGTTCTTCTAACACAGATTATGTTTATTTTTAAAGAACAATGAGCTCATTTTTCTGCAAGTAAAGGCTTCTCTCAAGTATGAGGAACCCAAGTTTGTCTGGTATGCCACTTCTTTATCTGAAAGTTGTATTGTTGCTCGTCCTCGACTATAAAACCTTAAACGACTGAAATAAAATAAAGGCATATTTATATTTCTGTAAAGTCGGCTCAATCTGAACGTTATCCATGAAACAAAGAACTGGTTTGTGTTTGTTTAACCATTTCAGCTGAGTTAGGCATTCTTTTAAAGCCACATGTTAAACGATACCACCGAGGCCCACAGATATAATCTGACCTGCTCTACTTTAATCCTCAGTCTGAAAGACTTGAGATGCTAAAATGTAAATAAAAAGATGACATTTTTTTCAAATCTCACAAACCCTTATTTTATTATTATTATAACATAGAAACAGCATCGGACATGTTAGCATTGTGAGCTGAGAAAATGAAGCATTTTAAGAAGAAGAATGGCTCCTTTTGAATTTGATGGCAGCAACATTATCTCAAACGTTTGGTTATCTTACCGCTGTGTAGCATCCCTTCTTTATTCTACATGTCTGAAGACCAGCTGCTGGGCTTTTTGCCTCGGTGAGAGAAGATGGTGTTTCTGGATCATTTTTACACATGACTCCTTTGCATGACAGAGCCCTAACTTGAATTTGTGGGTGGAATCACTGAACACTGAAGCCCTGAGCCCACGCAGAGATTTCCCTGATGGAGTCAGGCCTGTTTTTAATGAATTGTCTGTGGGCCAGAAGAGCAGACATCCAATATTGGTTTTTGACCTTGTTCCTTTTGATATTATGTTCTGTAGACGATATTCAGTCTTTAAAATTTTAGACTGAGGAATTTTATTCTGAAATTATTCCACAATTTGTACACATTTTGGTGAACGTCCCTGCCATCTTTACTTCTGAGAAGCTTTGGACTTTTTTTTTTTTTTTTTAACCGTTTCAGAGAAGCAATCATGTTACTTACATGTTCCCATAGAAATTTTTGAACAGACAAAACACTTACCAGCCTTTTGTTGCCACTGTCTCCAAATTCATTTGTTTTGAAGTACTAATACCATCAAACTCAAAGTGAGCTTATATTTCGCTTAAAATGGGAAATTTTTCTCCGTTTAAACATTAAATATTTTCCACATTGTTGTAAATAAAATATGAGTTCAAACTTTGCAGATGGATGCCTTGTTTGTATTTATTTTTCCACGATGTTCCTCCTTTTGTTTGGATTGTAAACTTCATGCCTCACTTGGGTTAATTTTTATCATTTACTACAAAACGTTCCTCCTTTTTCTGCCATGTGTGATGTTTAACCAGAGGACTGGTCTTGAGTCCTCCCCCAGTAGACTCCAAATCCAAAAAGAGTCAGAGAGGGTTTAACAGAGCACAGACAGATGTGCTTTCATGGCACATGTAACTAATATGGAAAGACTTCCTGAATAAGCTGGACGTCATTGTTTACAGACAACCTTTATTTCCCCTGCTTCTTCCTTTTTAAAGCTCTTCTGCTGTAATGTTTATTTTTCAGTTAAAAAAAATTAGCTACTTTTGATTCAGTTGCTCAAACACAGGCTCAAAGTTGCCTTCACGGTCACACTACTGAGGTCCATGTTTCTTACATGTATAAATGGTTAAATAGCTAATGTGTCTTCTTTCAGACTTCAAGGGGAAATAAACAGACTTTAAAAGTGTAAGATTTATCAAGATTTATTACCACGAAGCACTGTTACAACAGACAAATAGGGACCTTGTGTGGTAGACTTACTTTTCTTTTACTACAGTTACATGTACACTGTAGCAAATCCCTTACCTGTTATTTCGGATGTAGAAAAAGATCCTGCTGACTGTAACTGTACATACAAATGAACAATCTACACCAAACACACAACCTGTCAAATAAGTTTATTCACACACACACACACACACACACACACACACACACAGGCATGAAGTCCCTTCCCTCAAGTAATTCAGTAAAAGTCTGTTCCTGTTGAGCACATGTACCAATGTGTCAGAGAGAAGGATGTAGAACACAAAACCAAATGTATTGCAGAGCAGACATGAATATTTTAGAATAGCAGAGAAATACGCACGCCTTCACTTCAAGTCAGTTTAGATTGTTTATAGAAAACAGTAAAGACATTCTTGTTCTTGATTGCCACTCTTTGCTTTCCACTGCAACACAATGCACAGCTGCTGAAGTGGCATTGACGCAACGTTGCCTTATTTTAGGTTCCTATTTAAAGATGACGACACGGCCCGTGCTGGTTCATTTCCCGTCGGATGTAAATCCAGCATAAATCAAGTAAAAAAAAATATTTAAAAAAACAAAACGTGAATATTTCTCCCAGCTCTCGGCCCTTCGCTCACTTTGAAACGACACACATTTCAACACATCATTGTTCTATAGTCTTCAATTACAGAAAGATAACAAAAACACACTTGTCGAGCACTTCAGTGCACGTAACCCAAGTGTAACATTAATTTTTTTTTCCACTTCGATACATTTGAGCAAAGAGCAGTACTATAAAATCAGTGTGCAAGCGCAGCATGGCACAATCGTCTACAAAGGCCAATATCTGACCGTTCAAATTGGTAAAAAGTAACAAATAAAATGACGAATCAGCATTAAGAGTAAGTTTCTCGTCATTTCCCTAACAATCACATCTGATTCCTATGTTACAGCTACAGAAAATTCATTTACCTGAAAAAACAAACAAACAAATAAACCACCTCCCTGCCATTCAGTAGCATTTTACATCCTGATTGCAATACAGATAAGTATTTCCTATGTTTAGAACTTTTCAGGTTTGTAAGCAGGAAAAAAAAAAAGTCAGTTCAAACTTTCGACCAGCAGATGGCAGCATCAGCTCAAACTATGGAGTTGCTGGCCTGAAGAAGAGAAACTACAGAAATAACGGAAGGAAACAAAAACAACTCATCAGCCAAGTCCTCAATACAAAGGAAAATATCACAGTCTCAGCTGTGGAAAAAAATGACCTACAGTATATCATACAAAAGTCTTTCTGACCGCCGTAAAAATTAGTCTCAGTCTCCCTTTATCTACAAGTTATTGGCACAGGGTAATGTGTGCCAATAACTTTGTTTTGTTTTCTTTCAAACATAAACCTCAAAATGTAGAAAA